GCCCGGCGGGGGTGTCTGTGCGATGGTCAGTGGAGAGATGGAGAGTGGGAGAGATGGGCGTACTGGCGATAGAGATATCAAAGTAGACTTGACTGAGAGATGGGTCAGCGTCTAGCCAGTGACAGGGGGAGGATGTTGGCTGACGACATGACTTTTCTTGTACAGTTGATAAATGACTTGTAAAGAGGAAGAAGAGGTAGAGGGATCTGGTGGAGCCCTTATATGCATCGATGTGGAGGGAGCGGGAAGGCCCGCCCGGGGTGCTCATGGGGAAAGGAGGGTCTCCGCATTCTTTCATCCCGATGCAGAACGTTCTCTGGCTCGGCGCAAGCTCTTCCCGCTGTCCCCCGCCCTTAGCATTGGATTTCAGAATTCAACATTTGATTCCGTCGCACCTTTCAGCTCATTGCTCGCTCGTGCATACGATTGGGACCCTGCTGTGATCTGGCAGTATAGTAAACGAGGCACGTCTGCATCCAACGCCACCCTCTGCATCCTTCTACGGGTTCTGCGGGCTGCTGTAGAGCCGCTGGCGTCCAGCTCGAAAACGACCAAATCGCAGAATTCATCATGTTCCTGTCCGTTCCTGACTGACATGGTGGGTTGGCGAATTCGTTTTCTGAGCCTATATAGGCAACGGTTGGATGTAGGACAAAACGGTAACTACAGGTGTGTTCCAACTGCTGCTGACTACATGCTTTGCGAGTTTGAAGGCTGTATCATCTGATCTGCATGAGTTGTGACCAAACGGGTGATTGCTCGGGATTAAATAAACTCTGACATCCTTAATGCTAATCAAATGCTAATGGCGGCCTATGCGTCTGCTACCGAGAATTCTAGAGCTAGGGTCGGGCTGGTCACGTCGGAAGAGATGGACGGCTGAATGGCGTGGGCGGCTAAAAGTATGGGTGGTCTGTGGCTTTGAGGATGTAGACCTGCGGCGGGGGATTGTCGGACTCGGGGGAGCGAGGCTGTCATTGCCATGTCTCTTATCGGTTTCTATATATCATTGTAGCATATACATTAGGACTTTCCCTCGCCTCCAAACAATCTATACGTTGTAGCCAGAACACAAACTGACAAGAGATCAGATCACCGGAAAGAGAAAATGGCATCCTCTGCACCAACGACAGTTTGAGAGCGTTCCAGCAGTCACATCGCTGCTTGTCAATCATACACGGATCATAGTACGATGATATGACGACTTTCATTCATTTCTGCTATCTACTTCTTCCGACTCCTTCTAATACCCTTGATCGACTATTGCCCTAGAGAGTACCAGAGGCAGAGATGACAACAGGCTTGGCGACGCCTACACATCCCTCGTCAGCTTCCACGATCAAAGTAGACAGAAGAGAGGAAGAAGGACGTACGGCCAGAGGGGCCACCGAGACTCTCGATCTGCTTGACGAGGTCCTGGCCATGGGTGACCTCACCGAAGACGACGTGCTGGCCGTCCAACCAAGAGGTGACAGTGGTGGTGATGAAGAATTGAGAGCCGTTGGTATCGGGGCCTGGAGATCGTTAGCACCCGAAAACACCGCCAAGACAAGAGTACGCACCGGCATTAGCCATGGACAAGAGGAAAGGCTTGTCATGCTTCATGAGAAAGCTCTCATCCGCAAACTTTTCGCCATAGATCGACTTGCCCCCAGTACCGTTACCACGGGTAAAGTCACCGCCCTGGAGCATAAACTGGGGGATGACTCGGTGGAAGCCAGAGCCGG